TGAATTTTGTCTTTCCTAATTTTCTACATTACAAAATCATCGTATCATCATGATAATATTTAGAGGCAGATTGTTGAATTATAACAGATAAATTAGAATATTTATCTTGATTATTTCTAGGCGAAAAGTTATTTCAAAAATTTTATCTGCTAGAAACCTTCCCAGTACTATACTAAATAACTTCCCAAAGTTTCATGGCGATCCAATGAGTGGTTTGGTCAGGCATAAAGGACAAACAAACAAACAGACACACATACATTCATTTTTATATATATAGACTAGCGGATGTACCCGGCTTCGCCCGGGTTTTACCCGAGTAAAGGTTTGTCTAACGAATCTCTCGATAAAGTGAACATTTTTTCCCGGTCCCTTGAAAAATACTCGATAAGTTGAATAAAATCAATATTAATTGGTTCCCTCGGTAATTGGAAGTTAAAGGAATAGTATCTTGCCTTGGAATTGTATCATTATTCTTGTCTCAAATAAATTAACGTGTCATCCTGAATTTTGTCTTTCCTAATTTTCTACATTACAAAATCATCGTATCATCATGATAATATTTAGAGCAGATTTTTGAATTATAACAGATAAATTAGAATATTTATCTTGATTATTTTTAGGCGAAAAGTTATTTCAAAAATTTTATTTGCTAGAAACCTTTCCAGTACTATACTAAATAACTTCCCAAAGTTTCATGGCGTTCCAATGAGTGGTTTGGTCAGGCATAAAGGACACACACACACATACATACATTCATTTTTATATATATAGATTCCTTTTCTTCCCTTTGAAGTTAAAAAGTGACATGTTGTTGAATTATCTCAATAGATGAGAGTGTATTCTTCCTTACATTCTTTAGATTCTATACATTATATACATGTATACGTCCATATTTACACAAATGATATACATGAGTTTTAAAGGGTGTCTTGTTCTCTAAAGAAAACCAACAAAATATTCTCGAAATAATCCATCTAAGACATTCATTGGCGGTACAAAAGCCAAACTAAGACTAACCTATTTTGTAGGGAAAGGAAACACTATTATGGTAAATTAGATTTTGGCATATAAGATTAAATAACACTTAAACCTTTCTTTATTTCCAACATTTCGTTGACCCACTGTCCCCTTGTCACAAGGAAACCAATCCTATATTAAGAAAAAGATATCTCCTGATTGTGCACCCCTAAAAGTTGTTGATGGCTTTTGCCATCTATCGGAATAAATATCCACTAATCGTTGATTTTGAATTATTTTAGAATTGGCCAAATACCCTTTCTTTAATAATCAAGAAAGTGTATTTGGCTAATTCTGGAATGTATACATAATGTATATATATAATGACATTATTTGTTGATTCTTAACATTTGTTTATATTTCATTGTTTTTAAATATCGATCCGCAGCACGCTCTACATGTTTCTCGGTATCCTTATAAGGTAGAAAGAATTGAGTAACATAGGGTTATTATAATATAGGTATAATATATAGGGTATTTGCAAACACTTATTGTAATAAATAGTCGATCGAGAAAGCTAGCATTCAAAAAAAGGAAACTAATTGTGAGAAACATTAGTAGTTTCAAATATGGGATCCTTGACAAAAGCGGGTCACCGAAACGATGTAAATAAATAAAGGTTTGAAGTGGATATTTGATTTCTTGTAACCTATTCTGGATACATCGCTATGTGGACAGAGCTCGAAAATTACCAGGGAATAACGAAAGGCGTCGAGAAAGAGGACAACCAAGAACTAGAAGGTTGAACAGGATGTTTACTGCAATGACAAAAGGGAGTGGTGAGGAATGAAGGAAGATAGTTCCTGAGGTCTAGAAGTCGTTTATCACTTGATAAAACGACATAAGTGTTTTGAGAATAAACAAGTAAAAATTGATCATTTTTGAAAATGAATATCAAGATATATTTCCAGGGTTGTTGTTTTTTTTTCTTTTCACACACACACACGTACAAAATCTAATATTATATAAATTTTTCCAAAGAAATAACTTATTTTGATCAAAACAACCTAATCATATCCAGACAAAAATACTGTACGTATATAGGCAAAATTGTCACTTAGAAAAATTAGGAAAACAAACGTAAGAATAATATGGTAATTTATTTCATTGCAAACAATTATTTGATTGGATAACCCATGCTCTCTCCTGGAGAGTACTGGAAACAAAAAACATCCTTATTTATATTAAAAAAAAAAAAGAATGCAAGAAGATAAATTTGTTGAGTAACAATATCATGTTAATCTTTGGTGGATAAAATCAAATTCTGTCACATTATAATATTTTAATCAAATAGTAAGTCCAAATTTAAAACACGTATAACTTATAAACTTGAATGAAGCGTATTATTCACATGACAAATTCCAAAAGTAATCCGATTCTTTAAAAATATATACACTTCGTTCTCTTTTTATGCGGTTTTTTTTTTATGCGGTTTTGGAGTTATGCGGTGCAAGAAAAAAAAATTTATTCGAATATCGAAAATATTTTGGTGATTTACTTTTTATAGTAAATTATCAGTGAACACATATTTATCACTGATGATACTCTGTGCAGTTGCCTTTTGACTGTTTGTAATATCTACCACATGTAAACATATGTCTTATAATTAATATGCTATTTCTGATGTTGGCCTAAAAGAAATAAAGTATTTCTTTTTAAACTTCCAAGTACTTCTTGCTTATTAACGTCAACAAATACAAGGACGTTACACTACCGAAAACCGGAAGATAAATTTACTCAAGTGAATTGTAAGTTTTTTTGAATAATTTTAGTGCGTAATTGTACATTAAGTTTTTTCTATAATTTTTAGTCCTCTTAAAGAAAATGTGTGACAATAATAAAAAACAAAAAAGAAGTGCAATTTCGCTAGAAACCAAAATTATAATTCTCGATTGCTTGGCGAAAGGAGAAAGATCAACAGCAATAGGTAAACGTTATAATTTAGGCGAATCTACTATAAGAGCAATAAAAAAAAATGAAGCGGCAATAAGAAGATCAGTCAGATCTGGTACAAATTTGAGTTCTAAAATTTCATCATATTCAAGAGGCACTTTAATAGAAAAAACAGAAAAGGCTCTCGTAATTTGGATTGAAGATTTAACTCAAAAAAGAATTCCGTTAGATGGACATTTAATCAAGATGAAAGCCCTTAAATTTTACAAGGAGTTAAAAGAATCAGAGCCATCTACATCTTCACGTGAAAGTAATCCACAATTCTCTGCCAGCACAGGGTGGTTAACTGGTTTTATAAAAAGACATTCTTTTCATAATCTAAAAATAAAAGGTGAGGTGGCTTCTGCAGATGAAGAAGCTGCTAGAAAATATCCTGAAAAGTTGGCTAAAATTATTAAAGATGGAGGATATTGTGCCCATCAAATCTTCAATGCTGATGAAACAGGATTGTTTTGGAAAAAAATGCCAACCCGTACTTACATTGCAAAGTCCGAAAAAAATGCCAGTGGTTTTAAAGCTGCTAAAGATCGAGTTACTTTATTGCTGTGCAGCAATGCATCTGGCGATCGAATGTTAAAACCGCTGCTTGTAAATCGATCTTTAAAACCACGTGCATTAAAAGGAAAAGACTTAAATACACTGCCCGTACATTGGATGGCAAACAAGAAGGCCTGGGTAACAACGGCTATTTTCACTGAATGGTTCAATAAATGCTTCGTACCCGAAGTAGAAAATTATATGAAAGAGATGGGTCTCGAATTTAAGATCTTATTAATTCTTGACAATGCACCAGGTCATCCAAACTTAGAACATCCAAATATAAAGGTAGTTTTTTTCCCTCCAAACACAACGAGCCTAATTCAACCATTAGATCAGGGAATTATTTCAACATTTAAAAAATATTATGTAAAATTCACTTTCCAATTCATTTTCGATAAACTGGAATCCGATACAATAACAGTTACTGAAGTTTGGAAACAATTTAATATCTTGAACTGTGTAGATCATGTTGCGTTAGCAATTGCCGAGATAAAATCACAAACTTTAAATGCATGTTGGAAAGCTGCTTGGCCTGAATGCGTATCAAAGAAAAATGAATCAAATAGAACAACAATAGTAACATCAGATATTATTTCAATTGCTAAGGAAATAGGTGGGGAAGGTTTTGATGATTTTGGCGAGCATGATATAGAAGAATTGCTTGTGGACGAAGCCCTAAATGATGATGATATTTTGGAAAGTATGGTAGATACTACTAAAGATTTCGAAACAGTAGATAGCGAACTGGAAGATGTTACTCCACTGGACGAAAAATTACTTCGGGAAGGCCTTCAACTTTCCGGTAAATTGGAAAATTTTTTTATTCAAAATGATAATGATGTAGAACGCGCCTTAAAATTCCAACGTGATCTGAAATTTTGTATGTCTGGCTACAGAGAACTCTACAAAGAACTAGTCAAGCCATCACAGCGTTTGATTACTGACTACCTTGTCAAAGAAAAAAAAATCACTGAAGTTCCTAAAGAAGCATTACCATGTAGATCTGATGACGTAATTTTATCTTCAAGTGATGAAAGTGATCTTGCACCAATCCTCAAACGGGTTCGCACATTATCAGACAGCGAATAATGATGAAAACATTCTTAATATGATTTTAAATAAAGTTTTGTTTATGTTTTTTTTTTTTACATATTAAGTTTTGTTTTTGTTATTAACACACATATGTGCCATTTATTAAAATATGATGAGAAAAAAATTAAATCTTATTATTTATACATCTTTTTTTATGCGATTTCTAGTGCATTTTAAAACATTATTTAGGTTTTATGCGATTTTTTTAATAAATGGAACGTATCCATCATTTTACATATAAATGTATGTCTTTTTTTGTGCGATTTTTTTTTATGCGGATTCCCCTGGAACGCATCTACCGCATAAAAAAAGAACCAAGTGTATATATATTTCACACGAATATAATCTGTATCTTAACAACCGATATTGCTTGTGGCTATTTAAAAGAAAAAAAAAAGTGGCAGCGGTGGGATTCGAAACCCACGCTTCCGAGAGACTGGTGCCTTAAACCAGCGCCTTAGACCGCTCGGCCACGCTACCTTACATCCCGTTTCTTTCAACTATCTTAAATAACTATCATAAACCCATATATAGATAACAAAGTTATGTTAATAGAAAAATACAAATTTATTCTGAAAACTATAGTTTTTTATGCATATGTGTGTGAATTAAAATTTAGATTTTTTTTTTAATATGACTCAAAAAACATTTTCCCCAGCCTTATATTTTGGGGTCGGATAAATATTATTATTATAGTATGATTTTAAATTCTACTAAAAAATCCGAAAAAATTAGAAAACCCCACCTTCAAGGAAGCCACAAACTACAAATGTGGAAAAAGGAAAATAAGAAATTTAAAACCTAGACAAAATTCTCCATCAATTAACCAGAATGACGAAAAGTGGGGGGGGGGGGGAAGGAAAAATAAACCCACCTTGAATATCAAACAAGCCAGACAAAACCTTTTCAAGAACAATATCCCCAAGGACCTGAGAATTCGGACCAACGACATCAATATAAATTAATATAAATTATATTCGTAAATGAACCCCAGTACATAACCATCCCCCACAGTATATTGTAAATATAATGATCTAGGTTGCTCTTTTTGAGCGGCACCTAATAAAGTTATTTGGAACTTGGAAATATGTATGATGGTGAACGAATGGGTAACACCCTCAATTCCCGACAGTCATGAACAGGGATCGAATCCCACGTTAACATTTTGTTTAATATGTGAATAACCTTCACATATATC